AAGAACAACAAAAAAAAAAAAAAAAAAAAAAAAAACACATCATAGTAAAATTAATACCTTCTCCGCTTCGCATCAAAGCTAAAAATAGATTTTAAAGATTTTATAAATGCATATTATGATTTGATTAAGAAAATTTATTACAAATACATTTATATAAAAAAACATTAGTTATAATAATATTTTGAGCGTTTCAGATGATTTTACTATTAAAAAAATTTCAACTTTTTATGAAACTATGTAAACATAAGATAAAAATATCAATTTTATTGTAAAATTGTATACTTTTATAAATTTTAGAAAATAAATTAGTATTAGAATTACTATAATTTTTAATTAATACGAAAAATGCTGGTTCTAATATAAGTTTTTAATATAATGGTCGTCATATACATACATTGATAAAAGAAATAAATGAGGTAAATTTCCCGAAATGTTTAAACTTTCAAAATATTTTTGTATACACAATACCTTAGTAGCAAGTTATTTTAAAGCTACACGATGTGATGCCAATAACTTTTGTGATTTATCAGTCAAGGAAAATTTTACAACAAATTTTCCTCCAAACAAAATAAAAATAGTTGTTATTGGCGATGGTATTAGTGGTCTCTCTGCTGCGGCTACATTGTCTAAAAATGGTTACAAAAATTTGAAAATTTTGGAGGCTCAAGATAAACTGGGTGGACGAATCTGTTCAATGAAACACAACAATAAAGTATTTGAAATAGGTGCTCAATGGATAACAAAAAATCTTTTATCTGCTCCATTAAGTATGGCTTGTGAAGAAGGATTGATGGTAGGCTACGGGGAGCGCAAATTTATTTCGGAAGTCGAATATTTAACTGGGAGTGGTCGCTCAATTGATTAAGAAATCATAATACTGGATGAAAATATCTTTCAAAAAATACTAGATATAGCTGCTATATCTTCAAAAATGTTCAACAGTTGCTGTAAAAAAAATTCTTTATTAAATTTTATGAAACATCATATTTACAAGTATGTGTCTACGATTCCAGCTGAAATTCAAGCAGATACATTTATCGCGTTAGTGGGGTTAACTGAAACTTTAAGTAAAGAATTTGCAGCTGATTTGAGTGATATAAACATGAGTAAATTTTGTGAAGGGCGAAATTTTACAGATCGTGTTAACGTACCAAATGGTATAATACACATTCTACAATCATTAACTCAAGAAGTTAACCACTATGTTGAATTAAGTACTATAGTTGAAAAAGTAGAATGGAATTCGTCAGAAACATCTGAGAAACGTTGTCTAGTGCATATGAATGGCGGCAAGGAACCCATTAGTGCTCATTATGCAATAATTACTACATCATTAGGAGTTCTTAAAGGAGGTTTTAAATTCTCACCTAATTTACCAAACGATGTATGGGAGGCAATTGATTATTTAGGCTACGGTCGATTGAATAATATTTATTTGGAATATTCGAAACCTTTTTGGCATAAGAACCAATCGACATTTAGATTAACATGCGATAATCTTACATACGATCAATTGTATAAAGACTGGGACAATTCTTTTACACTTTTGGAACAAATGCCAGGAAGTAGTAATTTATTATATGCACAGCTAGCTGGATGGACCGCATATCAATCAGAATGCGTAACTGAGGAGGAAATTGCAAAAGAAGTGACCAAATTGTTACGTCAAAACTCTGGTTATTGTACTATTCCATATCCTTCTAGTATTATTTGATCCAAATGGTCAACTGATCCTTTTTTAAAGGAGCATTCAGTTTTAATAAGTGTGGTCATAACCATGAATTATTAAGGAAAGCACTAATAAAACCGATTCCAGATATCAACATTGATTTCCCTCCAATTTTATTTTTTGCAGGAGAAGCTTGCTCAATTAAAGACTTTGGAACAATTCAAGGCGCCATTAAATCGGGCTATGAACAGGCGCGTAAAATTATCGATATAACAAGAAATCATTCTAATATTATAAAAAACTATTCTTAAAATTATTAAGAAATTATTAGTATTAAAATAATCATTATCATGATATTCTATTTACTGTATATATATATTTATCAGAATAATTTATTAGTTTTACTTAATAAGATAAAAATTATTTTTTTTCAAAATTAATATGTGATATTACAATCTAAAATAATTTTAAAAATTATGAAATTATGTAAGAAAAATTTTGTATAATTGATTTCTTATACAAAAGATCAACTAAATATACTTTTTATTATTGAAGTTATAGATATCTATTTTTTTTTATTTCAAAAGTAAAAAAAAAAAAAATCAACTATTTAATAAAAATTGAAGTAGAAAATTTAATAATACAAAAAATAGTAATTTTTTACCCAAATATTTTTGTCTAAATGTCTATTTTTGTTTTATCATTCAGAAGAAATGGATCGTTTTTTCCTATACACTTTATGTAGAAGTCAAATTGTCATTAATTGTTGTTGTATATAATCGAAAAAGTAAATATTACACAACATTTATTAAGCATAACGACACACATTTAGAATTTGTTTATTTGTTTAATTCTTAATGTTTAAAGTCTGTTGATAACATAAATAATTATTTAAATGTGATATAATAAAAAAATTGTATATTTATTTAAAAAAATCTATTACGATGCAACATGTATATGAATATATATATAAAGATGTATATGAAATTAGTGAACAAAAGGAAGAAAAGTTTTTTAATGAAATAAATGGAAAAAATGATTTGTCTTTAAATCGAACTATTTCATTCGCTGAAGATACTTACAAAGTAAGTAAATTTGTACCTTGGGTTTATTAATAATTATTTTCACCACTTCCACAATGAAAGGTTACAAGAAGTTTTTTTTAGTTTAAAATAACTATAATAAGTTTTATTTTTTACTATAACAAATTATTCTTTTGGAAATAATTTCAATGCAAAAAATAATCATTAACTAATTATGTAAAAGCTCTAAGGAAATAATAATTATTATTATATAGGACCTAAAACAATTAAAGTAACTTTATTTTTAAGTTTCACTCATAAAGTTATCCCTAATCATCAAAATATATGGTAAAAAAAAAATAGCTTTACGTTAATATTGCACAACATTACCTCAAGCAATAGATTCAATTAGATTGATTCTAGATCTTGATATAATCGCTAATAAGTGATAATCAGATAATTAATTATAATTAATTATTAATCAAAAATAAAATAATAAAATTTCAAAAAAAAATCTATTGAAAATGTTAAATTACTATATTTAAGAGGTACATACAAAATTTGAGAGCTATAAGTTCAACAAGTTTAAACTAATACAAGTAGCCTTCATAGTTGATTTTGACACGTTCATTTTACAAAAAAGTAAATTTTCCTTTTAACTTTTTAAGCTTTAACATAATAACTATATTTTTTATGGCTAATGGGAAATTATTTAATTTAGTAATTACTGTATTGTTTACTAATTGCTCATTAAAAATAAATACAAATTTTTTTCTTGTATCTTCATTTAAAACTTTAATGGACATTGTATTAATAAATGATGTGGCTCATTGTTATGTACATTTTAATGCTAAACAAAGTAGTTTAATTAGATTCTATGTAAGTATGGTAAAAATAGGAAATTCAAAATTGTACAGTTGTTCTCCTCCTACGGCGCCCTTTACTCGAGGATAGGGTAAACTAAAATACCATATAAACTGATCTATAGTCTAATGAAGAAGGTAATGTATATTTACATTAAATATGAATGGAATCATGCTAGAAGATCATTAGTCACACTTTTATTCAAATTTATTTTTCACTATTTTTGAATTCTAGCAGGTTTGACACACATATTCATGCTATAAGGTACTCGCGTGAGCAGTCCTTGTTAATAAAATCGTCTTATTATAAACGGAGTTTCATGCTATAATGTCATTAGTGTAAGACTCGCATCTTTTTTGCATTAAACAAGTGTCTACTGTTAATAGTACTAGTTGTTTTCAGATCAGTTTTTACCACTTTATCAATCTATTTTTGTTTACTGAAATATTGTTTTATTGATTCAAGTTTTACAGAATTTTTGAACTATTTCAACCTAATAGATTATAAGTTTATAATATAGTTTTAAATAAATAAAAGCACTTTACTGATCAGAGAAACTTTTAATTTGATTATGGATGAATCAACACCAAACACGAAAAAAGTATGGTGTCTGACATGACAATGTGGAAACGAAATGTTAGAAAAGCAAAAATTATCAAAGGAGAAGAGTATGTTAATACAAAAGGCTTCATAACGCCAGAAAAAAAGCGTAGGATCTGATTGTGAGTAAGCAAATTTCTACTATTTATCAAAATTATAATAATAATAATTACAATATTATCTATTAAACTATAAATTATTTTAGAATACAATGCACTTTTATAACATATTAAGGTAATACCCAATTTCGAACACTTGAAAAATTAAAAACTTTTGTGGCTTCAATTTATTTAAAATGGTCCAATTTTAAGGAATTTTTTTGAAAATTATTCTGACTAACGACCATATAAAAATTTACTCATATTGAAAAAATATAGTTTTCCCGCTCCATATTAATGGGTTAATTTTTCAAATTAATATTTTAAAAAGTTCATTTTTGACAATGTTCCATAAGACTACATGCATTAAACTATATACCAAATTAATGTTTATAATATTTACTATGAGATAAAAAAAAAAATTTCATTTTTTGAAATATTAATAAAATATTGAAGAAAATCAAAACCATTGAAAAAAATACTTTAAGCTCCTTTCTCTTTCAGATGCAAAAAGAAGTGCCTAAGCGTATACCCTCAGCTGACACAGAGTTATTTTCAATAAGGTTTGCAATTTTGAAAAAAATGATCTACAAGATACTTGTGGAAGTGAAGATAAAAAATTCTCATTTAAGCTACGCCACTAGTACTGTGTTGCTGTGACTGAAAAAATTGTCCTTAAGCGAAGGGCTAAGAAGTTTCACAACTAACTTAAAAAAGACGCTGAAGACTATAACCATTGAATCCTAACGTTATCTGCATGCAAAATCTGACTGTTCCATTAAACACAGTACAAAAAACCTACTATTTGTGTCAAGTGAATGCTAACATATTCGGTATACATAATTATAAGAAGAATAATGCTAAGATTTACTTATACCATGAAGGTCAAGGGAAAAAAGGTCCTCATGAGGTTTACTCTTTTCTTATAGATTATTTAGATAATGATGTCCCCTTCGAGGTGGACGAATTACATATATATATTCAGATAACTGCGGTAGACAATATAATAAATATAGTTTAAAAAAACTGAAAACACGCTTTTAAAGCATATCGAACTAATAAGTTAAAAATAAGCTTAAAACAATAATGAACGAAAAATACTAGTATTATTGTGAAAAAAATCGCCGGGCGCTCAATATACAAAAAATATGGCACAAAGCCCCCACGCTTTTATTCGCAATAATACTAGTATTTTTCGTTCATTATTGTTTTAAGCTTATTTTTAACTTATTAGTTCGATATGCTTTAAAAGCGTGTTTTCAGTTTTTTTAAACTATATTTATTATATTGTCTACCGCAGTTATCTGAATATATATATGTAANTTTCACTTTTTAGGTTTTTTTGACATCGCTGTTATAGTCACGCAGTATTTATTATCAATTATCACTAGCAATAGATATAATTTCTGTATTGCCAGTTAGTGTGTTTATAAACACACAACAATGCGTCTTGTTACCATTGATAATAAAGGCTATATGCTTGCTAATATCGTCATAAAAAACCAATCAGCTACCTGTATTTGTAATCCCTTATGTATTATACATGTATATTAACTCAAAATATTTGAATCTTTAAATGTTGATATCTAATAATAAACAATAAAATTTTGTTTATATATATATATATATATAATGATGATACGCCCGCATATACGGGTACGAAAACCAAAAATTATACAGGAAAATGGTGTTCTCGGCGAGTGTTGAGCGGGGTGGGTAAATGCGTTACACCAGTCTAGACTCATGGCCATAGACTACGGGATACGCGAGATAATAACACGTGGTGAGTGAAGAGTTACAAACAACACACAACTCACGTACATTTGAAACTAATATAAGCGTGTTAAAAATCATGAACTTTCAAGGCTTCTTTGTGCCCTAACTGACACAAGAAGATTCAAGGAGATAAAACACTTCTACCCATTGAAAGAACACAGTAATTTAACCTGTGATAAGGACTCCTTTTGATTAAAAATCTCAAAAGGTTGAATCGCTTGTATTAAGTCCACCAGATCATACATCAATTATGCACTGCACAACAGACCATAACAACCCAACCAAACCCAACCCAACTATACCACATTGCCACTGTGCTGAGGATTTTTTTGAGCCTCCTCGTTTCTTCTAACACAGCATATTTTGTATATTTTGAGGCCACCAACTTTTATAGTTTGTATTTCTGACATTTGAACCAACTTGACGGTATATTTGTTTCCACATTGTCATGTCAGACACCATACTTTTTTCGTGTTTGGTGTTGATTCATCCATAATCAAATTAAAAGTTTCTCTGATCAGTAAAGTGCTTTTATTTATTTAAAACTATATTATAAACTTATAATCTATTAGGTTGAAATAGTTCAAAAATTCTGTAAAACTTGAATCAATAAAACAATATTTCAGTAAACAAAAATAGATTGATAAAGTGGTAAAAACTGATCTGAAAACAACTAGTACTATTAACAGTAGACACTTGTTTAATGCAAAAAAGATGCGAGTCTTACACTAATGACATTATAGCATGAAACTCCGTTTATAATAAGACGATTTTATTAACAAGGACTGCTCACGCGAGTACCTTATAGCATGAATATGTGTGTCAAACCTGCTAGAATTCAAAAATAGTGAAAAATAAATTTGAATAAAAGTGTGTTTCGATGTTTCGATAATATTATAACATGATAATGTTTCGATTCGGTGGAAATAT